CATATGTCCTCCACCATGCAGGCTAGGAGAATCCCCATGATACTGAACTATTAGACAGAATTTCCTCAGGGCGGAAGCTACTTCATTTCCACTATACAGTCCTGGCAAAGTCAGGTCAGATTCGAAAGACCACTGAGCAGACACCCACTTACTCTTGGAGATAACTCATCCCATTGCAAAATCAAAGATAATATAGCAAACAAGTTACACTATCTGTTATGATCTAGGTAATTTTGACAAAGTAACTGAACATCTTGGTTGGCACTATAACTTGTCCTCCAGCTGCCCCCTTCATAAATTGAGAAGTTTTGCTCTATCCTCCACACCACCCCTACCACCTCTGCCACCACCACTGAAGCGGCAGCCCAAAGACTGACTGATATGGAGATCTGAAAAAGGCAGTCTCCTTAACTCAAGGTGCATTGTATATTCTAGAAAAACCCCTTCTGAATTAGACCTAGGCTATACTTTGCCTCAGACCCTGTCCTTGCTCAGTTACCCCTCACTCCTATTCCCTACTTTGCTTTCTCTTACAGGTTTTTCCTGGAGAACATTCCTTCAGTGAATTAAAAGTACCTGAATCCTTGCCTCAGGCTTTGCCTTTGGGACTTTATATGTTCTGTATATTTACTCAATGATTACATACATGTCTTAAGCATATTATGTGAAGCATCACAGAAAATTTCAAGTTTGACAATTCAATCAGCAGTCCCCATCACCAATATGATAATCTAAGTGGACACAAATACTAAACATTAGTAGAAATATTACATTGGAAAAGTTCTTATTTATTTTTTACCAGTAAAATATCTAACATATAGTTATTACTTTTAAAGTTATTTATAGAAGATTCGAGTTTCCCCGTGATTACGAGATTCTATTCACTCCAATCCCAATACACCTTCATGAGTGGGAGAGGGGGATGGAATGATGGTTATTACCAGGAAATTGTGCAGCTCCCACAGATGCCCATGGGAGTCCACCACACAAGCGAACATCATCCACAATGCAGGTTAATACAGGAGAAAATGTCTGAGGACAGTGACTTTGGTAAATAATAAACTACCAATTGTAACAGGCTGGTCACAGACAAGGATGTTTCTATTTGATGTACTCATAACCAGACCTACTCATATGCTGACCTCAAGGTGAAAGTCTCTCTACAGCATCTGCCCATCCAGTGAGTAAATCACCCAGCACCTATTTTAATTATTTACCAGTTTCAATCCATTAAGTATAGATATCTTACATACACATTAAATACCAAGACAGAACACATAAAACAAGACCCAGGGAAAAGGCTATTAAATATGTGTTTCCATCTGTTATTCACGATGTTAGGGATACTACCTAGCATTAAAGGGAATCTCCTCTACTGCACTGGGGGTTCCTGAAATTTGATCAACAGCTGGAACCAACATATTTTTTCCTTCCTTATTCAGAAGTATCTTGTTTCCATTTTGTTGTGTTTTGTTTTGTTTAATCCAACCTCATCATGCTTCTAACACAGGTAATAAGTCACTTATTAAAGTGCCAAACTATTACTGTTTTATAAGGAACAAAATGACGTGTGGAATACATGCACATTATAGCTAACTAAAGTTAACCAGTACTAATTTATGTGTTTTTTAAATAGTCAGATGTCTTCTCTTTCATTTACTTAAGAGGGATTCTAGGGATTTACCCACTCAACACTTAACTGTCCTTTAATTCACTTGGAATATATAGAGCTTTTAGAAGGAAAAATGGGATATTAGAGAGGGGACTTCTAAGTTTGTCATTCAAGAATCTCTAAAATTAGTTCTTAATTAATTTCCCATCTTTGTTTTTCAAGTTTAAACTTTTCCTATACATGCATGATATATTTGAATCAAAAATGTTATGTGTTTATTGTTTTATTTTTTCAATTGACAGACAAAATCCTATGTATTTATTGCATACAACATGATGTTTTGAAGTATATATATATATTGTAGAATGACTAAATCTAGCTAATTAACAAAAGTATTACCTCACATAGTTACCATTTTTGTGGAGAGAACAGTTAATATTCACTGTCAGCATAGGTTTTTTTTCAAGACTACAATATATTATTAACTAGAGTTACCATGTTGTACAATAGATCTCTTGAACTTATTCCTCCTGTATAACTGAAATTTTGTATCCTCTGATCAACATATTCCAACCTCTTCCCCAACCCCTGCCAACTGCTCAGCTCCTGGAACCACCACGAGATCAACTTTTTCAGATTCCACATATGAGATCATGTGGCATTTATCTTTCTGTGCCTGACTTATTCCACTTAACATAATGTGCTCCAGGTTCATATACGTTGTTGCAAACGACAGAATTTCCTTCTCTTACGGCTGAATAGTATTCCATTGTGTATTTATGGCACATTTTCTTTATCCATCCATCCACTGATGATCAAAATTTTGGAAAAATGTTCAAGATTCTATGTGTGCAGAAAACTATCCTAGGCATTTCGTAACTTTGAGCCTTTGTTCAGGCTTTCACTCTGATATGAAATATTCTTCGTTTTCTTTACTGCCTGTTGAAATCTAAATTGTTCAAGGCTTGGTTGACCAGCCTAGCCCATTAGCCAAACTTCCTGTCTTGAATTTCTGCAAATCTTACTATTTTTACTACGGTTTGGTCTATATTATTTTACTGTCATGTCTTTGCTATTTTCATGTTAAACATGGTTAGAATTAAGGCAGTTTAATAACTTCTCTGGCATTTTCATCTTGTCTCCACTGCTCTAGTGCTAGGGTCTGAATATCTGTATTGCTCCCCCCCACCCCATTATATGTTAAAATCCTAACCCACAAAGTGATGGTATTAGGGGGTGGGGTTTTAGGGAGGTGATCAAGTCATGAAGGTGAAGCCCGCATGAATGGGTTAGTATCCTTATAAAAGAGACCCCAGAAAGATCCTGGCCCCTTCTGCCCTGTGAGGACACAGCAAGTCTACAGCCTGGAAGACAGTCCTCACCAGACCCTGACATGTCAGCACCCTGGTCTCAGACTTCCGGCCCTCAGAACTGTGACAAATAATGTTTGTTGTGTATAAGCCGCCCAGTCTATGGAGTATTGTTATAGCAGCCCGAACTAAGATATCTTGCATGCTGACCTGGGGGGACTTAAGAAAAGACTCAAATCAAGAATACATTTGGAATTAGGCAGTTCCAATTGGAAATTATTTGAAATAAACCTAAATGTAAAAGTTGGAGCAGTGATTCCCAACTTATAGGCTTTGAACCACAGTTAGGGAGGGGGAATAGGGATGACCACGCAAAAGTAGTTTAAGCTGTTACATTACACGCTCGTGTGTGTGTGTGTGTGTGTACTGTTATCTTCAGTTGCGGGTAGGTGCACTAGATAAAAATAATTTTAATAGCTTTTCTTACTTCATTGTAGTCATTTGTTACTATAAAATTTCCTTATTTTGACAAAAGGATCTATAACATCTTCTACAATTATACAGGAGTGCCCAGATTTGTAAATTGGTAAACACTCACCTAGAGAGTTTTGGGACAATCTGACTCATTTTGTTAGGCCATGCCTCCTCACTTTTAGCTGTTCTTCCAATGAGTTGTCATAAAGCTGAATTGAGAATACACTTCTTTTAGAGGAAAATGCCTAAGGAATCTACCATGGTGAATTGTACTCCAAAAGAGTCAGTTCCAAGTACCAATAATCAGAACAAATGTGGGCAGGGTGGAACCATAGAACTTATCCTGGAGAAAGTTGTGATTACTGTTCCCAACATCTATAGGGTGAGATGTATGTGTTAATACACTTACATATTAATAGGTTAATAGGCCAATCCGATCCTATCCAGGAGCTTATTCCCACTTATTCCAGGAGCACAGAACTGTTCCCAGGCCTCTTTGAAAATGTCTACAGACCCATGAAATCTCACAGTGTTTGATGGGATGTTGGTCCAAACTAAAGAACTTGGTCAAAAAAGCAGTTGTGGAAGCTTTTCCTTCCTTTTACTTTGCACAGGATAGCAATACATTCCACTTGAAGCATCCACTTATATATGCAAAATCTACATGCTAGGTGCCAATGAGTGCTTTTTAGAGGGAACATCAGGACTCTGAAACTGCACAAATTATGAGGGCATGTGAATCAGCTCCCTCTGTGTGCTGTTTTTTTCTATTCAAAATCCTTTTATTGTGCTTGCAACAAGGAGAACTATTGCTTGATCCTTTAAAATAGGAGGCAGTGCTATAATTATTTATATTCGTTTTGGTGTTTTTAGTTTTTATCATTTCCTCTTCTCTTATAGTAATAAATAAATTCAAGGCTTTTCTATGGGACACATACAAGTTGATAGCTGAACTTTTTTTAATGTCCACAGATTCATCAATACACTGAACTTGAGCCTTCAGTTATTTATTTACTTAACTCATTAATCCATTTTATGAAATGATCTCTCAACTCCATTCATTTAACACACTCATTCGTTCTTACATTCATTCAATATTTACTGAACCATGCTATGTGCTTCAATTCTGTATTAAAAACTGAGGACAAAATGATAAATTCAACCAAATATGGTCCTTGACATCATGGGGAAGTTAATGTGCAGTGGGATGAAAAGACAGAAAGATCATGTAAATAAATGTAAAATGTAACTATGGCATCTGTCCAAAAGGAGAGGTAAAAGACATTATAAAAGTCTGTAATAGGAAGAGTTTACCCAGGCTCAGGGCCAGACATGACTTTCTGAGGAAGCAACAATGGAGCTGGGAGATGCAGAATGGGAAGGAGTTACTGAAAGGAAGAGGAGAAGGAAAAGCATTCCGGATAAAAGAAGCAGTACATGCCAGTGGCCTGTGGACGAGGGGAGGATGGTGAATATGCAGAACAGAAAGGTCAGTGTGGCTGAAGAGGAGGGAGAGAGTGGCAGGTGGTGAAAGATGTGGCTGGAGGATAGACCGCACATGGCCTGGAAAATCCAGATGCGGAAGAACAAGGTTCACTCTGCCAGCTGTTTGAATAAGCCTTTCCAAACCTCGTCAGCTCTTACTCCCTCCAATCTGAAATTTGTACCAAATCAGAATGATAGCAGCAGACTCCAGAGCATTTGCTCAATTTAGAAGTGTGGTCAATAGAGGAGTAGAAATGAATGCCGAGGTATCTGTGTTACCCATTGTAAGCATCAGAAGAGGCTGACTTAGAAAGTGGTCTCTTCTTACTGCTTGCAGACTACATTGCTTGTTTCTTAAGCAAAATCTTCAGCTTAAAGATTTCTTTCCTCTTCTTCTTAGATTGAACATTTATGCTTGGCAAATCACGTTAGTTTAGTGATTTAAAGAGTTTTTGTTTGTTTTTTTCCTTTCCAGTATAAAGACTCACCTATAACACTAAGCTCTGCGCTGGAAAAGATAACTCCATGTTTATTCTCTGCCACACACTGATACATGCCAGCATCTGAGAGGTTTACTATTGTTATGTTGAGTGTTCCTTGCTCGATTTGAATTCTATCCTGTGGAAGAAAAGAGGAACATAAAACAATGACCTTCTACAACTGAGACCTTAAGGCAATTTTGCTACATGTTATACAAGGGGGCTTCATGGGAAGAAAATAGTCATCATATAAGCAATTTATATAACATGATCTATTTATCTGTCAACTAAATTTGTGGCAGGTCAGATGCTAAATGCAACAACTGGTACATAAGTTGGTAAATGGAATTTAAATTGTAGGATTCTCCTGAGTTCTCATTGATTTAATAATGAAGACAGTCAGATTAATATCTCCTCTAAACAGATGAACTTGAAGCTTAAAATGCTTTTTTACTCTAAGGCTTTGTGCTAACTGGAGGTGGTGAGGGGGATGGAAATACAGCAAATTTACTGTGTATTTAAAACACTCAAATTATAAACAGGCAACACTTTGAAGGTTAATAGCATTGTAATCTTGGATGAAGCAGAGGCAAATATTTAATATTGGTTGAGGTTTACTAAATAAATGTAGATATTAATAATTTAATGTTCCCTTACTTTATTGCTGTTGATGGTGTGATTTAAGCTTAGGAGCATCTGCTGGTAGCTAAATCGGAAGGAAGTAAAGTTAGTGTATGGCACAAAAGACCTTTCTCATTTGTCCCCCTGAGGATATGCAACTGTGTATCAATTTTCACAAGTATCAGAAAGGATCTCCTACTCTCCAGAGGACCTGCCACTTAAAAATAAAATACATAAAGAAGTACATACTGATTTTCTGTTTGCCGCAGGGTTGCAGTTTAGGTGGGTGGACACTGTATTAGTATTTGAACAAATCAAGGAATCTGTGTTCCCTCACCTTACACAAAGGGAGGGAAATGCCAATTACTTTGGTACCTACACTCTAGCAATCTGTTTGAGTTTGGCTTTTATAATTGAGAGAATCACGGACCAGGAGGAGCCCTTCCAGTGAATGGAGGATATGTAATAGACAGGGGCTGGGTCAGTCCCCTTTCTCTTCCTGTTGCACAAATTTATGTCTGTGCCATTGCTCAGAGCAGGCACTCTTCCCCGGCTGGCCTACTGAGGAAGAAATCTGAGCATGAAAAAGTGGCTTTCAACTTGGGGTGTGGGGAAAAACGTCAAACTTCAGTTAACATCTGAAGTTCAGTAGAAAAACAGAATAAGGAAAATCAAATTGGACATAATTATTCCTTATTCTAAGGGCCTCCTCATCTGATTCATTCAGAAAACTTTGTCGGAGTGTTATTCCATCTAGATGGATATTCCTGTATCTTATCAATATCCCATCTCTTGCAGTGGATCTTGGGATGTACCTTCTGTTGTATCTTAGCTAAATTATATGTTCCAGACCTTCTGCATAACTTTCCCATTGCAAAGCCACAGATGTTCATCTGTGAAGATCAAAGATCTAGTATAGAAACTTAAGTGAACAAAGCTGGAGAACTGGACTTACGCATACTTTATACTTATGAACTTCATTCATTTTCACTTGTTCCACTATTATTGTCATTTAGTTGCATATTATTTTGGAAACGACTCACCATTTTCCTGTTTCCATAGAAATGAGGCCACATTAAACATCACAGTCAATACTAAGACACAATTACCATCAATTTGCTTACCTGAGTTAACAGGGGTTCACCATTTTTTAGCCACCTGTACGTAGGCTTGGGTCTTCCACTTGCTTTACATTCCCAAAAAACATTTTCTTCCATGGCTATGTGGATATCATTTATTTTTTGAATCCAATTAGGTTGAGCTACAGCAGTTCAAAAAGCAGAGAAATGACATCCATTCAGTATATGCTCAATCTACGTATTTTTATCATTTGCAATCAATGGGAAAAGTAGGCTTACAATAAAAATCTTTTTTCAGATGTTACACAAATAACAAGGCTGGGTAGAAGTTCAGAGGAGTGTCTATACCCTATTCTGAACACCCTATTTTTACGGTCCATATTGTTGGTCTTTTAATCACTAAAGGAAAAATATATAAAATTGCCATAATCCTTATGACAAAATTACCTGTCCTTTTCCCTTAAGTACATACAGTATTATTCCTTTTTTCCTTTTAGTACGGGAACTCTCCCACCACCCCTACCTTCCTACTTTTAGCTGGGCTCGTGGATTCCCAGCTGCACATGACATTTCTCAGATCCTTTTGCAGTGAGAGGTAATCATATGACTGAGCTCATGCCAATTGTATATGTGTGAAAGTGGTGAGATCAGCTTCCAGGTTATTTATGTAAAGATTCTTGCCCTAGACTCTTCTTGTCCTAGACTCTTCTTGCCCCTTCACACTGACTGCAAAACAGTGACAAGTGAAACAGCCTTGGCTCAGAGATGGATGGAAAGTAGCATGGAAATGCTGACCTGCCAGCTTTGGACCTTGAATTGAAACAGGATAGGGCTAGGCCTGTGAACCAAACTGACTCCATTTTCCCTGCAGAGGATATTTTGTGGCTTTTCCACTCCTCAGTCATGAAACCCTGAGGGTGCAAGATTACCCCATCACCCTGATAAAAGTGACTGAAAGAAACCATTTAGGTGTAACTGCCCTGATAAAATAAACTGAGATAAGAAAGGAAGAGATATTTACCAAGTTGTAAAACCTCATCCCCAAGGCTTCTTAAAATATAACTGTTAGCTTTGTTTAAAACCTATCATTATGTACCTATTCTTTCTTTCCCCATAATTGTAAAGAGTAAGTTACAGATTGAGCTGAAGCCCGTTTAGGAGTTACATGCAAGATTCTCCTGGAACTAAACTCCCCTGTGACAACCATAAAAATACCAGAAATCATCAAAACAAGATGCTGAGGTCAATTGAGGAACTGCTTACCTTTGAAAAAACCCTTTCCCAACTTCCCCCAGGAAGCTAGCCCAATCTCCTGCACTCACACAAAGCTTCAAGGTGACTGCTACAATGACCCTCCTGGGGTGGTGGTAATGGGCAACATCACCATCATGGACCTACTGAGCAGGTGCAATGACCAAAGTCCTAACTGAACATGCGCCCATGCTGCAACCAGGAAGAAAAGAAGGGACTACCTCCAGAGACACAGTATGGTGACACTGGCCCTCACCCTTTGCCCTGTAAAGGACCCTGAACAGGTGCTCTTGGGGAGCTAGCTTCCTTATAGCAACCTCCCTCATGCAGAAGCTCTCTTCTCTTTAAATAAAGTGTTGCTTGCTTTCCTGCTGGGTGTATTGTTCATTTCTATGACTTTGAGACTCAAGAACCTGGTCTGGTAACAGAATGACTTTTGAAGCAAAGCAGCCCCAGACCCACCTACCTATTTTTTGAGAGATAACGTAAGAGAGAAATAAACTTCCTATTGTATTTTGGGGTCTCCTTTGTTAGATTACCTTAGCTTGTTCCTAACTAATACATGCTACTCTTATATGTTGTATAGAACACCTTCATGACTCTTTTCTTCCTCAAGACTATGATTGTTGTTATTATTGATTGTCTCTATATTGATAAAATATGAACCACATGAGTATGGCCCTAGAACCCTAAATGTTCGAGTGAGTCCTGATTTTTACCAAGCCTTCTTAGAAATTAAGTCCTGCCCACAGTCTAACACAAGAATTCAAAGCAGCACTAAATCACCCCACATTGCCCACTGCCATAAATCACTCCCACCACCCAAATTATACCACATTTCTTGTGCATTTCTTAACAATTGAAGTCATGTTTTCTTTTGTGGAAAAGCAAAATATTCTGGCTCCAAAATATATTTCTTTGACATATTTCAAGATGGCTAATTCAGAAAGACTGGGGGAAAAAACAACTGGCTAGAGGGCTGCTTCTTTGTGGAAGGAAATTTACATGTGTAAATGCAAACAGCCAGGCTTTCTCGGAGCACTGCCCCTACTTTGGCTACTATCTATTCTTTCTGAGGGCACCTGTGAGATCACTTAAAGTATTTTCATTTGCACACAGATGTGTGCAAATGAAAATACTTAACTTTAACTTCTGACCTCCTTGTTTGACCTATGAAAACACCTCCCCCAGAAGGCCAGAGATGTCAGGCCAGTGTTCTGGAGCTTGTACCTCCTGCTACATTCTCTTTCTTATGAACACTAGTATATAACCCACTGTACCTCTATTGGAATTTGAGACACTTGGGACATTTGGAACATTACTCTTTGTGATTCTCTTGTGCTTTGCCTTCTCCCAACATGTTAAATAATAAAATCTGTTATGCTTTTTCTTCATATTGATCTAAATTTGTCATTAATTTTTATTAATGAATCTTTAAGGCTGAAGAAGTTTTCCTTTGGCCCCTACACTTTCCTCATTCTCAGTGGATATAAAGACAATATTAATTCCATGTTCCATAAAAAGTCTTCACAAATATCATATCTTACCTCAAGCACAATTTAATGTTGTTAGCTATAATTGTAAATATGTTTAGGTAGAAGACCTTTAGCCCAAAGTCATGTAGAAGATTATCACAGCTATCATTCTGGCATGTTATCTGCTAACAGGGCATTTCTATAGGGTTATCCCTACCAAGGTAAACCTAATAATCAGAGCTGATATCAGTATTAATTAGAAGATGCTACTCAATATTCTTACCATGGCTTTTAGCTGACTTGACCTCAGTATCTTTATTCAGCGAGGCTTCAAATCATCCATAATTTAATTCAAAAGGAAATCGCTAGTGTTAAGGCTAAGCTGTATATCTTACCTTCTCATTAATAAACAAAACTAGAAAAGCACTCTACAAGTCAATTAACCAGCAGAGGTCTCTAGGTCCTGGAATAAATGTTGCTTTCTTCTTTATTCCATCTATAAGCAATTTCATGTTTTCCAAAGAGCAAAGCACAATTTCATAAATCCTCTACTGATGGGGATGATGCATTGCCGCATATGAGGGGAGGCCAAAAGGGTCAACTTCAAAAAAAAGTTATAACATCAACAAGCATTAACTTAAGTGAAGGGTTATAACCCACATCATTGAAAGAGCTTCAAGTCTACCGCTGTTCTGTATCTTCCTTCTGTTAATGCAAAGGACGCTCAAAAGGTTCACTGCTTGGAGAATTCGATGTGTAACACTGATATAGGTAATGGCAGTTGTGTGCCTGATTTCACACTCAACCTGCTGAATATTTACCTCCTACAGAGTTCATGAAAACAAGAAAAGACACAGAAATCTGCTTGGAATATTAACAACTATGCGAAATTTTGAAAGAGTGAGGAAAAAAATGGAAGGGCAAACATAACTTATGAAGCAATGTCAAGTTGAAGTTCAAAAAAGAAACATCAAAACCACATGCAAAGACAAGGATTTCAATGTCACAGATTTCCTGTAACACTTGGGCTTTCTTTCAAAAATATATAAAGCTGGAAGCAAAACTTTGCAATCTCACAAAAGGAGGTGGGGCAGAGAAGGAAAGGACTTGAGAGAATTTTGAAAAGACTTTGCAAAGTTCTAATTAAACATTTCTGAGGGCTCATTCTGCCTCTTCCAGCAGGGTTATAGAGGTCAAGGTGCTCTACAATAATGCTCAGTGATAGCTATTTGTGCTGGCCATGGTGAAATCAACAACGAATTCGGTGTTTGTGAATCATTGGGCACTTCATCTGTTTTTAAAGTAAAATTAATTCATAGAAGTCAAATTTGAAATGATATAAACATATTCCTCTTCAAGTGAATGTCTGGACATGGGCCCATGGAAATTAGAAATGGAATATCATATTACATAAATGGCAAAGAGTGAGACAGTCTTTATTTTAACATGCCAATTGAAGATCTACAGGGCAAAATCCCACATAGTGAAGGTTTTCACTTCTACTCAGATTGGATGAATCATATATAAGTGGGGGAGTTTTTCATACTGGAATAAATAAAGTCCTATGCTTGATGGAAATGGTTTTACATCTCCACATTTTGGGGGGTCATTTAGCTCCAAGTCCTTAGATGACAAGTATTCTAGTTGAGTATATTATAGAAAATATCATTTCTCCCCCTCTTTTTTTGATAATGCCTCTGGTTACACGGTATTTATCACTTAATATTGAAGTTCAACTACATTTTACAATTCTATGTTTAAATACTAGCTCAGAGGAAGGCTTGAACAGGTGGGTTTAGTACTAGTTTTTCAGAAGACAATTAAAAAAATTTTTTTTCTTTTTTTTTTTGGTAATACAGTTAGCCCTCCTCTGCATCCTCAGTTTCAACCAACCACTGATTGAAATTATTCTTAAAAAAAACAATAAAAATAACAGTACAACAATCAAAATAATACAAATTTAAAAACAATACAGTATAACAACTAATTACACAGCATTTTCATAGTAGTATTACAAGTAATCTAGAGATGATTTAAAGCATATGGGAGGATGTACTTAGGTTAAATGCAAATATTCCTTGATTTCAGATAAGGGACTTGAGCATCCCTGGATTTTTGTATCTTGGGGGAGGCGGGTTCTGGGACCAATACCCCATGTATACTGAGAGATGACTGTATATGTAGATCCCACATATTAAAAATAGTCACAATTTAAAACAGAATCACCTGTTTTGGCCTTTCATGTCTTTTCAAGGTTTGAAACAGAAGAATCCCTTCTCTAAGGACAACCTAAGTCTGTTTTAATGCTACAAATTCAAACATAAAGTTAAATGGTTGTGCTGGGATTTGACCCTGTGACACTATTAGTCTCTTGGATAGATGAACAATCTTTTCATTTCAATCTTTTGTTCAATAACTGCCATAAATTACCTAAATCAATGCTTGTGTATTCCAGC